GGTATTATATTTAATTTGCAATGCCATGGTTATTATTTTACATAAACAACTTATTATACACATTAGTATTTCCCGTACTTAATTAGCTTCTCTAATACTGAATGCTGGTGTGAGCAGTGTTTTAGTTGTTCATTATGCTCCATTTATGAAAACCAACAGGTCAGAATGAATATATATTTCTTCTGATGTCCTGATAAGAAACAACACAAATAACCACTATGAAAGATGGCACGTTAGGAACATTATAGTCAGTATTCGTAAAATATTACAACATTATTATGAATAACTATTTTCAAAAGGCCAGTCAAATTAATCGTCTGGCTGTACTTTTGCCTGTCCCCTTACAATACGTAATGTATATGTGAGCAAAACGTTCGATAGTCGATCGTCTGTTCTTTTGACTTTCTATCGAAACGAGAAACTGTATGCTACCTGGTTGTATTCCTATCGGTAGCACAAACCAAATTTTGATTTCAAAATATAAAACAGAGGACTGATCCAATCGAAAAAACTTCCTCGATGAGATGTTTTTGAAAGCTGTTTGGGCACAATCATAGTTGCAACCAATGAGTCTGTTATTAGCTGATAGATCAGCTCTAGTGCATTGAAAATAGCCAACTAGGCAATAAATGGGTTATATATAAAATATATTTATCAAATCACAATGAGGTAGAAAAATATATACCTAACGTTTCGTGACCTTGTGGAGGTCGCTTCTTCAAAGAATAAAGCCTGTAGAAGTTATCAAATGTTTAAATAGAGTAAATGGTGTTAAATCAGATCATGTTGCTCGTACGTGACAATAATATAGGAATGAATGTCAAATGAAGGGTCTCGGATTAGTATAGTAATTCTACCATTCCACTCATGAACAACTGAAGTACGATAAACAATTAAAAATATACAGAATTAAAGCCTTCTACAAGGCCTTCATTAATCTGAAATGAGTGTGGAGATCTACTTTACTGCACTGCACTCATCACAAAGAACAAAATCTGGATTTTCAACATTAATGAAGTCAAGTCAGTGCTTCTATGTGATATTTGAGAGACTGGGAGGCGCGTAACGTAAAGCATTTCCAAAAAACTACAGACATATATGAACAGCTGCCGCCTACGCTCACTTGGTACTGAAGATCAAGTTAGATGGCCACATTAATAAGAATAAGGAAAAAGGAACTCACTCTGGCTGGTGACGAACCAACCAACAACCCATGGCTCAACACATATGCGGAAGAAAGTGGAGATGGATTGGATTGGACATGCACTGAGAAGACCATTTAAAGACATCACGCGCCAGGCCAGGCCCTCGAGTGGAAGTCAAATGAGTAATGATGAGCTGAGCGTCCGAGAGTGACATGGAAGAGATGATGTGAGGAAGAAATGAAAGCCTGTAGGTAGTGGTGGAGCCAAGTTGGGAAGACTGCAGAGAAGAGAGTGAAATGGCGACGTGTTGCTGAAGCCCTATGTTCCACTATGAAGTCACAGGATGAACAAATAATAAAACTAATACAAGGCAACCAACATTATCAAAAGATAGAATTCTTTTTACCTTCAGACATATTAGGCAGTTTCGATTGCAATGCTTAGCATATTATTGAAGAACCATCTAATCCAGTAGAACTAGAGAATTTACAAATCAAATCAGCAAATGTGATTCATACAATCTATCGTAGTCACAAAGTTGATAGTGAAAATACTGAAACTTTTCAAAAAAGTATTTACAAACTACAAGGAAAGACGGATAGTAGGAGTAATTCATATAATGCTGAATCTCTATGCACTGAACGGAAAGGAAGGCCTAATTATCTGACCAACTTGAATAGTACATGCGAAATAATACATTGTACGCACTAGTCGTAACTAAAGTACATATAAACAGACTGAATTATTCAGTTATAGTAATTTGCTCATGCCTTCATACCCATTCACCTGTACACAAACATTCACAACTTCACCTTGAACTCGTGGTCTAGTAAATCAGCTGTGACATTTACTCCCATATTATTATCATTATTATCAACGCAATTTGATTTATTTTGATTCACTCTATTTAAACATGCGATAACTTGTACAGGTTTCATTCTCTGAAGAAACAACTTCCACGACATGGTACGAAAACGACAGAAATGTATTTTTCTACCCCAAGTAAGTGTGTATGTTCTTTTGGATTGCTTAATGTTATATATAATCAGGTATGTAGAGTATCCTATTGACGAGTTTTTCTGAAATTTCTGAGTTCATTAGATCCTGCTCTTTCCACATGTGTTGCTTGTTTTCAATATGTATCAAGAAACACTTGTGTTCAACTCATTTTTCTACGTCATTTGAATTTTACAAATATATTTCATTCGTAATCCATTTACCTAGTTAATACTCAACTTATTCAACTCTACTAGGTCAAATTTTGATCCTAAAGTCTATAAAATAAATTAGATGTTCCTAAGAGAAGGGAGAGAATGTGTAGTAATTAACATGTTATTCAAATAAAGTTATTTACAACAATTTTTAAAAATCAAAATTATATAAAACTAGAATATATAGTGGTAGGTCAGAAGTTAAGAGAGGGCAGAAAACCAAATGAAAAGGGAAGTCACTACAAAATTTGCACTCTGTAGTTATTAAGACATGGGGTGAAAGTAAAAGGTGAAATGAAAACTTGTTTTCTAGTAGTAATTGAACCAATAGTCTTTCGGGTTATCGGATTACTGCTTTTCCAGCTGAGGTATGAAAGTAAGATATTATCTGGTACCTGAGGCTCAACTGGTAAAGTTATCCATAAACTGATGGTTTAAATTCTGCCATGACTAGGGTTTTCATTTCCGCTTCAGTCATCACCTAGTACATAACACCAGTGTGTGAAATCACAGCTATCTTACGTAGTCAACCTGAGGAGATGTGTACTGCGTCTACGCTAATGATCAGTCCCTGTTACGTAATAGTCACATGGATGAATCTGGTCGTCTATGGTTAGAAAATTCGTGTTTATGGTTCGAAAATTTATCTCTTCCACATGAAACGTTTTCATGAAATGGTTTACTCTGTGAGAAAGTTATAAAACTGAATTTATTATAAAAGACAATTAATTGTATGGATATGATGTGAATTTATTATATGATGTTTGAAAGTATCTATTTTGAAAATCGCTTATTGCAATATTCATGTCTTTGATATCTTTGAAGCAGCATTTGTATGACTGTTTCAAAACATTCTCACTCAAGATAATATCCGATTCAGTAGAACTCTTTTTAAACTGTTAGTGCTTTTATTGCTCCACTGAGTTTTCTCAGTTCTTTTCTTGTATAAAAGCATAAATTTCCGGTCAATTGAATTATTATAGATGAAATATAAAACTAGGTAAGTTTGAATAGAATTAGTAAAATGATGATGAGTTTGCTATGATTATTAGTTTGCAAGGTCAACTAAACTGCCGTCAATATGCGATTGTGTTCATATATTCTTTTTAATGGATGAGGTTAAAAATTGTCAAAATGTAACAGTATTACTAACTAGTCGCATGTATTTTATCAGACTTCTATCAGACATTGAGTATGTTTTGGTCTAGACACAAACACTCAGCTTCAACGATATGGAATATGAATATGGGACATGTCTATTCATAGCAGTACATACAAAAGAATAGTCATGAATAACATTTGGGTTAGAGAAGATAAAATGTACAGTTTCAACAATTCTTGTATTTTTGAGTGAAGCTTTGGAACTGAGTGAGCCATATGTACTGGAAACCTTTCTGAATCACCTAACATGGAGGAACAATATTTTTAGAGGCTGTACAAGTTAACAAATATACTCATAATACTCATAGAGGAAGCTGCAACATGGTTAGGCACTAGGTCCAAGTTTCATTGGCAAGAACCTCCACTGACATGCATGTGTAATGAGCATTTTCTATTTTATTTCTACCGAACACAATATTAAATGATGTCATGATGTGATGATAAATAGTTCTAAGACTCAACTGCAATAGGTTAGTGCTCTCATGTGTCGACCTGATGAAGAAACATATGAACCTTTATTAAAAGCAGACTTTATTGTCTATGGGTGAGTAGCAACGTCATATAGGGCTACACAATCGAAATTTTAGTACTTTGTTTACCCATTCTATGATATTTGTTTCCAGTTAACTGAAGCTTTTATGGATAGGTGCATTAAACCACAGCTGTCTGCTTTTCGATCCATCTAATTGCTTTGTCTAGATTTCAGAATGTACAGACACATTTTAATACTGATAATATGTGGTGGAAGTAAAATGCAGTTTCTGACAGAATATGATGGTGTGCTCTAGATTCGTTTCATTTGTTGAGCTGTTCTTATGAAATCAATAGAAGGCTTTAGACAGTATTATTCTCTTTACTTCCATACCAGATAGTTACCATATTTTGTTTTTGCCTGGTATTTCCTGCATTTCAAGTAAAATAACAGTAAACTGTTGAGTTGGACAATGATATGATGTACTTTCATATTTAAATAAATGGCCACTTAACGAAAACGATATAGTAGTTATGTACTATATCCCGAATATCAGATAGACATGTCATTGTAGTTTGCGATACGGTTACTTAAGTAAGCGGTTTAATAAACTTGTTCATTATATTTTCTTGCAACCACAAGGAGTTATTTACCGGGATGTGTTGTATCAAAATTTAAAGATTTTTAGCATTCATGAACAATTCTCATTTCCAATTTTGGGAAAACTCAAGTTATCTGAGGGGTTTAAAGCTACATCACTTTATTCTGAGTTTGAAAACGTAATTACTCCCTAACTAAGGTGAAAACTCACCTTTTTTTTCAGTTGTTTATGTGCATAGATCAGTCACTAGCTGGTCACTAATACATCTATCAGATGCTTCTCAAAATCGGATATTGAAGATTGTCAGATGTTCCTAGGTTTAAATGGTACTGCGTTGTGGTGTGTTAAGTATAAATATTTCACATTTCCAATGAAACACAATTGATAATCAGTCACATGGAACTGAAGGCAAAAGGATATTGTTGATATTCAATGAATACCCAAAATAAATACTTTTATTTCCATCATAAACCCTAATATAAACCACCAAACATGATAGTATATTTATTGTACACGGAATAGAATATCACAAATTTTTTATACATATGACATGGATTGTATAAAAATTCGCTATACAAATATGCAAGTAAGAAAGAGAAACAGTGCAACTAAATTTCATTTCCTTCTGATCGCAAGTTTATTAATCGTACCACAGTCTTTTGTGTATTATTGTTAGTCAACTTAATTTCCCAACAAGGTGTAATCACGTGAATAAAACTTCTACGAAATTTGGCACCCATAACACAATAAACAATGAAATTTACACTAGAGTTAACAACAACTAGAAAATTTCTCAATTCTGATAAAGCACACCAGCCATGAGGTAAAACTTTTGGCGATACAATACCAAAATAAATGTTGAATACCAGTGCTGGGAGCTGACAGGCAATAAATACACCAACAACAACAATGATCATTCGTGTGATACTCTTGTCTGCTTGTATAGCCAGTCGTGTTGGTCCGTAAGGATGGAGTGAGTTTCTTAGAGATTTACATGACTTACATTGATCGCTACGTTGAAATCGTATTGGAAATTGTTTTGTCGATGACTTTCTTGATAATGTGGAGGTTTTTGGATAGAAACTGGAACTGCAGCTAATCAGTTGATTTCTACTACCACTTTCATTACCATGCGAAGTAACAATATATGGTGTTGACTGAGAACTTTTATGTACAGCGAAATCAGATCTACGTAGAGCATACATTAGACGAATATTCATTACTAGCAAAGCAATTAACGGCAGCAGAAACATGACTAATATATATCCCCAGGTATAGTAAACAAGACGAAATAATGAATGCCAGTCATATTGTTGTGACCATTGTGAAAAGTTAGGCTCTTTAGATAATTCAGTGCTATTTACAGGTTGACTTGTTGTAATTTCAAACCATCTTGGTATATTGTAGACAACTGCGCATATCATACAACAGCAGACAACTAAACGAGACTTTGGTACGGATGAGAGTAAATGTGCATGCAATGGATAACATCCGGCAATATAACGCTCTACAGTTAAGCTTACAGTAATCCATATGGCTGCAGTCTGAGCAGTTAATGCTACAGGATAAACAACGTGCGCCTGAATTAATGAGTAAATTCGATGAGCTGTAGTTATGTTGCTAATTATTTTGTCATCATTGGCACTTCTCACTGCTAACTGTTCATACATATTGACATCTGAAGTTGTATTTTCTGAGTTTTCATTTACTGTGTCATAATTTATACTATCCATGGAATTGTTCGCTAACAGTGGGAATAATGAAGAATCGTCATCAGCAAAGGGGTATTCAAAAAATAGTACAACAGCGCATACCAAAAGTAATATATCAAAAACTGATAGACTAATTAAATAAATTGAAACAGGAGATTTCATACGTCGACTTCGTAGGACAATTATGGATAATATATTGCCAATTATACCCAGAATGACAATGACTGGTGCAACATGTGTATTCAGAAACCGTAGGCATAAGCTGAAACAGAAAAGTTGAAGAAAAATAATGAGGATTGAAGAGACTAGAGATTTCACAGTAGGAACTATCATAACTTTTATTTTTACTCTGCGACCAGCTTAAAGTGCATGATGAAGGCCTAACAACTTCCATATCGGCTTCATTTAGCTTCTAATCCACCAGCAAATATGAGTGACAAAACCTTTTAAGGACTCATACTTAAAATTATACATGCAGTGTTGTACTATCAAATTAAAATAGTGTTTTTTACTGTTTAAACTATACTAGATTTTAGCCTATATGTGGATATAAAACAGCTATCTAATCGAATCTTAACAACAAAAGAGTTTATTCACCTTATTGTTTGTGATTATGTTATGGACCACAGTTATTCCCTTAATGGTTCATTTGCATAATTAGCATAAATGAGATAAAAATAAGTAACAAATGGCACTTTTTGTGATATTTACCAGAGAAGTGTTTATTTTCCGAAGTCGGCTTTATACTGAATAAAAGTGTTGGAAAGATTGCATTATATGAGGATGACTAATAAACATCTAGTAACTTTGTACTGTCAGTATCAACGATTTGCAGAGAGTCTATTACATGATCGACATTAACTTCAAATAGCTTTGGTACATGTTGAATAACATGGAGTAACAATACTGATGAAAGAGAGACACTTATTTAATGGCATACTTTAGATATGTAGGTCTAAATAATTACCAGCGGAAGAGAAAATTTCAAAATAGAATGATTCTAAAAGTTAACCAAAGAACTACACAAATAACCAATCAAATTTTGTAATTTTTTTCAGAAGTTATTTTTCCAACTGAAATATATAAAAGCTTTATTGGATACTTCATTAGTTGTTAGAGTGATCTCCATAGTCACTCTCCAAATGTTCATTTTTGAAGAAGACACTGTATACAATTATAGCTAGACGCCTCATAAACGTGAGTATTAGATAGTATTAACTATTCTTATCACAGTGTTCAAAGTGTTTGTCTACTAACCCACAGATCTGAAGGGTAATTCATCATTATCCTTGAAGTGTCCGATCTATTCTTCCGTGGTTTAACAATGGTATGAGGAATGATCCTTCACTCTACTTCGGTCTTTCAGAAATGCATGTGCCCGTACGTCTCTCAGTGTAGTGGTGTAATTCTGACTACCTATGAAATGATACAGAAAAACACAGCATGTTTGGATTCGATTCTCGATATTGCAGGTTTGAATATTTTCCCGAAAACGTTCTTCACGGATGTAAGAAAGTTGATAGCTGACCTCATCGTATAGTCATTATTATTGACTGCGATGCTTTTTCAACTTTCAACAACAGTGGAACGAGAGAATGATGTTTGGTTCTATTACAAACTCATATGCTGGATGTTTCTACACTTGTGAAGTTGTTTTCGACCTAAATTGAAGCAATCACCCATGGTTACGAAAACTAAACGCTTATCAATAAAAAAAGTTATATTTTAACAAAAGGTATTGACTGTTTCTTAGACTTGATTTTATTGCATTTAGTGAACCTTAGTGACTGGTATCGTTATCAATTTTCTTCGCTAATCATCCTGATGATCTGGCTAGCTGCCTAAGAATGGCATTTACAGGGTCGCGGATTGCGACAGAATATAAGGCTTCAGCACTTTGTCTTATTTGATATTAGTTGGATTGATTCATTATTAGGGCATTTGAACAGCCTTTCACGTATGAAACAAGGAGGATTACGTTTATGTATTTTGTATAATAATGTTCTATTTACAAGACAATGTTACAGTAGTGAACATCATTTTTACCGTGCCATATTATCTCATGGAAATTAGGAATACTCTTTAAGGCATCCTTAAGCAGATAAAGGTTTTCGACACAAACTGTCAGTAAAAGACCGAGTTAGATTATATCTTACATACCACTCTTAGGCCAGTTCAGTGTGTCATCTTCGAAAGAGACGAAAATTCAGTATCTAATGTTAACAATGGAGATTCAGTTAATAATGTCTTACATATGTATACTTATCTAGGCACGTCAATAAATTACCAATAAGAGTATGTGTACAGTCTCTCAAAACACTGCAAGATGAATCTGAGACCTAATTAAGTGATTGGTTCCATCCTTTTGTCACCAGATTTACCTACTACCAACCTGAAGAATTCCCGTTTGAACCTTACTTCATTCAAGTTATTTTTGAATTCAACCACTCACGCAAAACAAATTTATACGAATAGCATTATTAGAAAAGTGTTAATTAGAGATGGGATACCCAAGGCTTCTGGAGTATTAAACTGGATATTTCAGATATTTATTTATCATTTACAGTTAAACAATAGGTATCCTCAGTTGGGCGGTTCGCATAATCCTTTTCGTGTTTCATTATTAAACTTTCTCATAATACTGATTTCTAGAAACTGAAATATAACATCTAAGTGTCCTTATGCGGCATAATTTGAAATGCATGCCAGAGGAGAATATATTTTATAATTTTGGGTTTCCTAAACGTGTATATTATCCTAGATCACAGTAGAAAGAAGGGAAGTTGCCTGAATTGGACCTTATCTGCTATGTATCTGTCACCGTATTTTCATAAAAGGTCAGAACAAAAAATTTTCTGAGTACAGTTTGTAATTTAAAAAGTGTGTCACTGTTAACGGCATAATTTTCTGAACAGGAAGCGTTTATTGTATCTTAAGATTAAAGCTTTCAAGGTTTTCTCCTTGAAATGTATATTTTGTGTTAAGACATATTTTTCAGTGCATTTACCTGAAACTCATAACCAATGATTGCAATCATCTAACGTGGTGATAAAACGTCTGAAAATCAATCTCACTGCTTTGAAAACACCAACAAATACATCATCAACCGACGCAACAAATGCCCGCTTCTTTCTTTATGATCCCTTTTTTCATATATTTGATTCTTTTGAGTGGGTTGAGTCTGTCTTTCTATGGAATAATTTCAAACAGTCAGCTATGGATTACAACATACATAATCTCATCACATGCTTAGAGCAAGTGTGAGTATACTGACGAAGTAGTTTTAAAACAAGTAGTCTGATTCATTTTTGAAACTCTTCTCAAATTACATTAGTAGGAAATTTATCTAGATTAGTGAAAAACTTTCCTTCATGATTTAATTTCACAACTCACAAGAAAATAGAAAAACGTTAGATTATCTTTAGTCGCAATACAAAATGTTTTTTTACAAACTAAAATTTCCTTGGTAGCTGATGAATCTTATATGGCATTGCTTTTCCTTTCTTTAAGATTTTCCAACATTTATCATCCTCCTTCTTGAATAGAATAGCATTTAAGAATTCAAGCTTTTTCTGAAGATATGTAACCACTCAATGGTTTATTACCCAGTGCATCCTTCCTTCAGCCTCTGACCACTTGTCTTTACAGATCAAGTATAACTTAAGTTAGTGGTTTAACTTGTAGCCCACTGACTGTGTTGACGACAAAGGTTATAATGTCGACGCAGAACTTCAAAATCTATCATCTCAAAATCAGTTAAGGACATTTAATTGTTTGTTTATATTACATCTCAAGCTAATCCTGTTCTATAACAAAATTTGACTTTATCCTAAACAGTTTTGGAAATGTGTAAAATTTTCTCATATTTAAAGTTTGATTAAGCTACTGGGATGAAGAGATAACCAAACAAAACATACGTTTAAGTACGCATATCTTTCAGTGCAGTTTTTTATTGTTACTCTTGAATCTTTGAATGACTTTTTTATCCCCTAACGGTTTTAGTTAAAACGATGGTGAACAAATAGGTTTGAAGTGAATTAGCATCATCAATAAACCAAGAGTTATTTACTTCTCCATATTTCATGATTCAAGTACAATCCCTCCTTTTACCAGACGTGAGGCTGGGATAACTCATTTCCACTGAAAGTCAGTTTGAACTATGAGGCTATCAGTTTTTAGATAAGGAATCAAAAAGGAAGCTATGATGTCTAAAATGACTGTCTAGATCCTGAAAAAAACACAGAATCTCTGAAATTATTCACAACTTAGGAGATTAGTTTTAGGTTCCACAAAAAACGTAAATATTAAATTCCCTGAATGAATGAAATAGATGGAAAATACTCTTCTAAATGATCTCATAATAGCCAAAGAGTATATATGTATATAATTGCTTCATACGCATTTTAACAGTTCAGTAAAGCTCATCAAGAGATTGGTCCACTACCATTGTTGACAACCAAAAGTAAAGACTCGACGGTGTATAAGTGTGCATTATTTATTTACAGTATATTTGAGGATCAGCCTCAACAACAGAACTTTGGGGGTTCTATTTCAAAACCAAGCATTATCAACTAGTCAATAGCTTATAATTTCTTCAGTTTTTAAAAGACTTTTTAGTTAGATTATTGTACTGGGAAACTTTTACCAACTAATAAGCTTTCGCAAACAATCGGTCATTGGAGAGTTTTTCATCCCTAGTTTGAAATTTCCCTGTATCCACCTATTTGTACATGAGGGGAAATCAACTGAGTTGTAAAACAAAATAGAGGCTGTTTGGTGAAATCGCTTGCATAACGACATGTCTCTTTAAAACATAAATTTCTGAAGCTCTGTCCTACGTGGATTGAAGTGTACTACTCAACAGATTGTCTTAAGCTAAGATGAAACATCTAATATGTGGCATTCAATTTTTAGTGTTTCTGCAGCTAATTTCAATTACTTATGATGAATATGATACTATTACTTGGTTTCGTGCATTGCTATGGCATAAAATATTTACAAAAGCTTGTAATAAAACATCTTATAACTTTGATGAGCATAATAAATACTCATAATAGAAGTAACTGTTGTTTTCAGTAACTAACTGAACTTTGGAGTTTTTCCTCAAAACGGAAGTATGTTACGTTTTGTTGGAATTACAGAGAGATCTACAACTGATCTACATCTGGATAAATTAAGTGTAAGTGAATATACAAAAAAAAACATTATTTTGTACTGCTTTTGTAAGTTGTATTGTAGGACGACATCCTAACCCCAAGGAAT